CAAAATTATTTTCAAACCAAGTATTCAAACATGTTTTAAAGCGTGACAACCTTCGACATATAAAATATCATTGTCAGATGTGTTTGAAGTAGAGAAGACAAATTTAGAAACGTTACACTCAATTTACGAATGCCATAGAGTCTACCGTTTTCAAATTTTATCTCCAAATATTTGCGTTGGATCGAAAACTTTTTGTTAGGGCTAGTATTAAAGTAATTGAACTTCGTTTATACGGATATCGGTCAATAGTGAGCGTCAAATATTATGATTTAGAGCCACGAATTTACAATTGATTCTGTTGTCTCTGTCTATTATTTTCTTATTACTCAAATAAGAAAATAGCGAGCCTCTGAGTGTTCAGAGTGACTCCTCAACGAAGTCATGAATTAAATAAATAAATTTCAAACACTATAAAGATCACCTTTACAACAAGCGGATTACATATTGTATAACTCGGACACTGATAGTCGTTGCTTGGCGCTGTTTTTGACAGTAGAGCGTTGGAACAACCTTTTATTAAAATTGCCAGATATGACTTTTTAAAAATCGTGCCGCAAGGGACAGGAACCTAGAGCATCAAGCCGCTTGGAACATTTTTTATTTTCCAACACATGCAGTGATCAAACATTTATATAGTTTCTTTTATTTTATTATATCCAGCTATGTCGCAAGCTCAGTCAAAGATATATTATTTATTTAAAGGGTAGTCGATCTACCAGCTAGCGTGAGAAAAGGAAAAATAATTAAATAAGAAACTACGTTGTTATTTATTTATATTACCTTGTTATTTAACCATTGGAATTAACAATCCCTTTCTCTTTTCAGACGCAAATGGTGAGAAGAGTCGGTTGGACAAGAAGAGTGCTGCCGCCGGACTGCGAATTTTCACCAAGTCTGCAATGTTTCCCACCACAGCTTGTAATCCCTCCCTTACCGGCTAAGCAATTCGGTGGTAGATTGATACCTGTCCCCAGGGAAGGCATCGAATTGCAGAAATATCACTACCCTAACGACTGGTGGCTCGAGGTGAAACCGACCGACTGCACCGAGCCGCAAGAAACGAGCGCGTAGTACTAGATTTCACGCAAGATATATCCCCGATGCAACAACAAATCTCTCCACACAGGCTGCGAAATATATTCTCTAGGACTCCTAAACAAAGAAACGTAATGGCACGTTTGTGTTACCGCTGCTCGGTAACCTCCTACTTTTTCCTAGATGTAAATTCGTTTCTACCGTTCGAAAGAAATCTTCGTTTGAAAGAAATCTGAACCGAGAGACAAGTTACGTGTTATTTATTTATTTTGCCAAACGTATGTGTAAATGTTTCTCCCGATCAGACAAGCTTTCACTTTATATTTTTATAGTTTTTATTACGTTGCGATTATTTTCTATCAGATACTACAGATTTCTTCTATTTGTATCATTCACTCTAATTATATATATTATATATATGTAATATATTATATACATATATTATATATATATAAGAATTAATATATAATTATATATAATATAATATTAATATATAATTATATATATAAATTATATATATAATTCACATATAATATAATATTAATATATAATTATATA